GTGGGGCAGTGTCACCTTGGGCAGTGGCTCTGTGGGGCAGTGGTGCCGTGGGGCAGTGGTGCCATGGGGCAGTGTCACCATGGGGCAGTGTCATGGTGGGGCAGTGTCACCGTGGGGCAGTGTCACTGTGGGGCAGTGTCTCTGTGGGGCAGTGTCACTGTGGGGCAATGTCTCTGTGGGGCAGTGGTGCTGTGGGACAGTAGCACTGTGGGGCAGTGGTGCCATGGGGCAGGGGTGCTGTGGGGCAGTGTCACCGTGGGGCAGTGGCTCTGTGGGGCAGTGTCTCTGTGGGGCAGTGGTTCTGTGGGGCAGCGTTGTGGGGTCTCACCAGGAATGCGCAGAGCATGAAGAAGCTGATGAAATAAGCGATGGCGAAGTTGCTGCCGCAGGTGAACTCCTCCCCCGGCTCCGCGTCCGACTCGGGGTCGCAGCGTTTGCCCGGCAGGCTGGCCAGCATGATCTCCTGCCAGGCTTCTCCTGTGGCACACCTGGGCACACAGGTACACCTGAACCACCTGAACAACCCCCAGGTACACCTGGACACCCACAGGTACACCTGAGCCACCTGAACACCCCCAGGCTGGCCAGCATGATCTCCTGCCAGGCTTCCCCCGTGGCACACCTGGGCACACAGGTACACCTGAACCCTGCCCAGGTACACCTGAACCACCTGAACCCCACAGGTACACCTGAACCACCCCCAGGTACACCTGAACCCCCCAGGTACACCTGAGCCCCTATGGAACCCCCCCAGCCCCTATAGGACCCCCCCCAGCCCCCTTGGGCCCCCCCCAAGCACCCATGGGACCCCCCTGAGCCCCCATAGGACCCCCTCAGAGCCCCCATAGAACCCCCCCGAGGCCCCCCCGGACCCCCCCGTCCCCACCTGAAGAGCAGCAGCACGGCCTGGGGGAAGGTCTGGAAGTTGTTGTTGCGGTTGATCTGGGTCCCGTCCTGCAGGGCCACCTTCCCGAAGGTCTGGGGGGGCACAGGGGGGGCTGGGAGCTTGCAGGACCAACCCCCCCACGCCCCCCACGCCCCCCCGGGCCCCCCATGCCCCCCCCGGACCCCTCACACCCCCCCAGATCCCCCACAACCCCCCCAGACCCTCACCTGCATCCCGA